AATTGTTTGCCAAAAGATTATTCAAATTACAGGTTGTTGCGAGGGATTTTTGGACAATTGAGTTAAGTGAATTGAGCTGGATTCGATGGAACTTATTTTCTGGATTATATCGAACTCAGATTTGCTGGTTCCGTCGAATTTCATAATCGATGGGCAAAGCAATTGTTAGTGGTGGTGTGGGATCCACTTGCATGGATTTAGTGTGTTTTCGCCAGATAGCATTTGACATGGCAAAAATTTTATCCATGTCATCACTTTTTGAAATTTTGCTCTCCACGTCATCAAAAAAAATATAAAAAATGCCACGTAAATAAGGTTAACGGCCCTAATTAACAGAAGGACTAACGGAGTGTATTTCGTATAGTTGAGGGATCAAAAAAGTGCAAAAAATTATTGAGGGATCAAAAATGTTCATTTCTTAAAGTTAAGGGACCAAATTAAGCATTTAACCAAATCCTAAAGCTTGTTCTTGAACAAGAAGGAAGAGAAAAGTCACCAAGCTTTACCGATTTTTTCTCAGGGGAGATGTCGCCGGCGGCTGGCTTCTTTTCTGGGTTGCAGGGGCGAGGAAGAAGAAGAGCAGAACGTGCAAGTGGCTGGGAGGAAATTTCTGGGTTTAAATCTTGTTCTCCATCAAGAAAGGAAAGGGAAAACTCAAGCTCTTTACCGGTTCTCAAGGGGGAAGCTTCAGCGGCTTTGGGGGGAAGCTTCGGGAGGTAGAGGAGAAGAAGAACAGAGCAGACACGCGTGTGAATGTGTGATGAGGAAGAAAAGAAAAAAAATCTAAGCTTGATCCTTATCCAGAATTTTTTCTCTTTTAAGTCCCTAAATTTTAAAAAATTTACTATTAAGTTCATTAATAATACTTCCTCACAATTAGGTCCCTATGCACACTTAATGTTCTAGAAAATTTTGGGATATTACACTACTTTTAATAATTGAGATTTGTCATATTTTTTAAATGAAAAAGATAATTATATGTAATAAATATGAATAAATTTTAATTATTAAAAGTGAAAAGATAAATAATTAAGATTTTATATAAGTATGATGTGTAAAATGTATGTGTAAATAGATGCTTACTTTATTAAATATATTTTATATACTTTTAGATATTAAAATTAAAAACCCTACACCAATTATAATTATATTAAATAAGTATTTTATAATCTAAATTATATTAAATTATAAAACAACATACTCTAAATACATTAACTTTTTTTTCTTTGGTTATTTAATGTCTTGGAAACTTTTTTCTTTTTTTCCTTTTTTGCGTTTTTGTTAAATCCATTTCAATTTTCAACGACATTCATTCACCTGCAACCACCGGACCAACTCACTTTCACATGCATTCTTTATTGGTGGGTGGGGTATAAATAACGTTGACTTGGGCTGATCGGCACGCGGCCCGGTCCAGCCCACATATAAGAACAGCAAATTTTGCGGCGGTCGGTCCCGTTTTAGTTGGCTTATGTTTCGCTTTATGGAACCGTCAACTAAAGAAAGGGGGTGCTGGCCGGAAATTACAATTATTGATTTTTTTGGCTTTTTAATATTTTACAGATATATAAAAAATATTTAATATTTATTTTTATTAATATTTATTTTTTTTAAAATTTAAAAAATACGTATCAATTTCAAATTTCAAAAATAAATAAGGTTATAATCTTAAATTATATTATTTTATTTAATTAAAATTTA